AATCACTCTAGCCGGGTGATTTTTATTCTTTTTTATAATTAAATCAGCGATATTAAAATAAAAAAACAGGTGGTTGGCGTAAAAAAAATTTTATGGTCACCCGGCCGCGATTAATACCCTTTAATTTTAATATTTATAAAAACCCAAAATTTCTTTTGCATTAACCTAGTATGCTTATCCAGATTTCTGCTTTAGGTTTTAGAGGCTGTAAACTGGCATTAGCTTGCAGTAAACTGGCATTAGCTTTGTTTCCAATGGCTAACATTTTGGCTTACCTTACCCTCGTGCACTAGTCAAAATCGTGGTGTTTCATAGTTGCAACTTACTCATTACATTCCCATTGTCACCCTTATTGCACCCTTATTGCATTGTCAAATGGTTGTCAAATGCTTGCTTACTCACCCTTTCCATTCGTCCATTTCTCAGCCATTTTACACTGACATCTATTGCAAGAATGGACAGATCGCAGAGCCACCCTCTTTCCCACAGAACCAGATCTCTGTCCTCATCCATCTCCTTTCCTCTCTGCCACCACTTTTTATTGTTGTTCGAGTTCGATTCTTCTTCACATTAGCACCAGCCTCTTTTTGCTAGCTTTAGCTTTTCAATTTGTCCTTTGTGTTCTTTTTTTGAAGTCTAACTTGTTGTGTTCTTGAAACAGTGATCCGGTAGCGCCTGGTGGTGTATTCTGGATACAAAAACGGAGACGCACCTCTTCTGGCAAACTGGATCCTTCTCAATCTGCCTTTTTCCAGTAAAATTTTACATTGTCGGCGTGAGAAAAACGAATTACGCATTGTCAGTGCACTAGAAAAGGTGCTTTTCCATTTCATTTAAGTTCAAAGTTCAACTTTGTGTGCTCGTCAGTTCATCGGAGTTTTTATACCTTATCCAAAAGCTTGATCAGCCTTTCATTCACCCCAAAAACGTTCACTACTTCTTTTTTCTGTTCAAGTTTTTTGCTTCTTTTGCCCCATTTTGCTTTTGATTGAATGTCTATTGAATCAAAAAAATTTACCCTTTTTGTCCACCGCTTTTCTATCGAATTTTGATGCGGATCGTTAAGAGTTCAAACAAACAAACATCTCAATTATGCCCGAAACTACCTTTTTCTCTGTCTACAATTAAAAAGAGTTTGATCACCTGCTTTTCTCGTACATATTGCTTGTAAAATTCAACATTTACGATATCAAATTTGATATCCTACGATGTCAAATTTTACTTATCATTGTAAGTAGTCTATAGAATTCTTTGAAGATCAAACTTTGAAGGCACCAGAAAGGCCACGTTTCTGCTTTCCTAATCGTTTACGGTTTCTGTTTTCCTAATCGTTTTCCGTTTCTGTTTTCCTAATTGTTTACCATTTCTGTTTTCCCAATTCAATTACAGTGATATTGAGTCCTCTGTTTGAAGTAACTTACACTTACTGTACTCCTCTTTATAGTGTACTTTGTGCACAAAAGTGCTAACACAAATACATCAAAGCTAGAGTGCAGTTAGGCAAATCCGCAGAACAATCTGTTCAGCCGATTTCTTTGTAGAGCCTGTTATTGAGTTTTACGAAAAACGAGTTTTTGCACTTGAATTTGGACTGGAGAGTGGCTTCGGAATGGACTCAAATTGGCTTAAAAAGAAGGAAAGTTCACAATGAACATTTCCTTTTTAGAGCAGCCATAGGTCAATCGATAAACTTTTCATTTATAAGCGCTAGTGTAAAAAAGCGTCGGCTTTATCGACCAAAGACTTATCGGTTAACCTAGTCTAAGCCTGGCTTTTGACGGATCTAGGCTCTATTTATGTTTATGATATTTATGATCTAGATTTAGATGAAGCTAGGCCAGGTTAGGACCTAGCTTCAGGCTTTGATTGTAAGCCCCTTGTAAGCCTTGTAAGCCCAAATCGCGCTCAACTATTCCCCGAAATTCTCATTGCCATTCGCTCAACCGTGACTCACTTGCCCGGACTGAGGGGAGGGGTCAAATTAGGGGGAAAAGAGTGGTGAAAAGAGGTGGCCAGATGGCATCCAGCGACAAAGGGATTTTCATCGAATTCTCTCTCCAAGTCTTCAATCTTTCTCCCCAAATTTTCTTCTTTTTCACCTATTCCTCTCTAAACAATAACCACATGTGTTCCGCTACGTCCGTTCCTCATTTTCTCATTTTCTTTGGGTCTTTTTGTGTGTCTTTGTGTCTCAGCTCTAAACCAAACATTTTCACGGCTAAAGTCTCGACTAATCGAAATGCTAAATGTGTTCGTTTTAGTAATTTGGATAAGGTTTTAGATTTTGCATACAGTTTTAAATTTTTGATCTCTGTTTTATTATACTTTAACAGTCAAAAATTGAAATTTCTGAACCGCTATTAACTAGCATAATGTATTGGATTGGTGAATTGAAAACTGCCGGACTTTGAACCAAAAATCCTTCAACATAAAGTCATAACTTCTTTCCAAATAGTTTCCACTACTCTTGACGACTTCTGCCCATTTTACAGGCAATTTGCGGATTCCTCTTTCGTACTACGATTTTGGTTTTGAATCGAAAAACTTTTCGAGCCAGTTTTTGACTGCTTCTTCCCAATCGAAGTGTTCTCCCGCAAGCTCATTACTGATGGTCCGGAATAAATAATAATCTGAAGGGGCAAGGTCCGGACTGTATGGGGGATGTGCCAAAAGTTCCCAAACAAGGCTGTTTATTTTAGAGCGAGTCATTTTTGCAACATGCGCGTTGTCATGGTGGAGAACGAACTTTGACTTGAAGGGCCTATTCTTCTTTAGGGATTCATTCACCTTTTCCAATTGTTCATTGTATTTGATTGCATGAAGGGTCGTCTTGCTATCCAGCAACTCCCAGTACACCAGTTCCTCGATATCCCAGAAATCAAGACAATACCTTCTGATAATATTGGGTTGGTGAATTGAAAACTGCGGGGCTTTGAACTAAAATTTATTCAACATAAAACCATGAATTCATTCCAAATAATTTCCATTATTATTGACGACTTCTGCCCATTTTACAGGCAATTTGCGGATTCCTCTTTCGTAGTAGGATTTTGGTTTCTGTGTGAGACAAGTGTGAGACTCAAAAATGAAGGACTGGAGATGTCCGATAGAGAGTTTGAGCACTTTCTTCAAAAGAAACCCATTTTGGTGTCAATAGGAAAGTTGTAGAGAATCAAAAATTAGGCTTATAGCCAAATTTCCAAAAAGATCTCGCTTAAAATGCCAGTTTTGTTGCAAGTTTTGTGAAAATCCGCAAATTTCGCATTTCTTGAAAACCAGTTTTTGAATCGTTCTGAAAATTTGGATATAAGCTTGATTTTTGATTCTCTACAACTTTTCCATTGACACCAAAATGGGTTTCTTTTGAAGAAAGTGCTCAAACTGTCACATATGACAATCGCTCGCGGTTTTCAATTCACCAACGCAATAGATTGAGATTAGCCTTGATTTGAGGAGAAGTCAATGTCCAATTTGAGGATTCGGAGCCGGCTAGAGTAGTTAGGCAAAGGGAGAGGGAAGGAGGTTATGTAGAAGCCCTGCGCCAGACGACGAGCGATTACGCGGCCACACAAGGAACACACAGAACACACAAATTTTAAGCGAAACTACTAAGTATCTTTTTGGTATCTTCTTGGAAATTTGGATATAAGCTTGATTTTTGATTCTCTACAACTTTTCCATTGACACCAAAATGGGTTTCTTTTGAAGAAAGTGCTCAAACTGTCACATATGACAATAGCCGGCACTTTCCAATTCATCAACCCAATAGCAACTAGTAACCCAAAAAAAAAGCTTGGATTCCTAACAAAAATTCGCCCATTTCAAGGCTATAGCTGTTTAAAATTGTCTCTTTTCCAAGTTTTAAATTTAGAACGAAACGAATCTGTGCTCAAAAGTGATTTGAAATTCTCTAAAAAAAGCTATTTTTCTTGAACATCTACGAAATTTTGAATCTCAAAAGCTTCTCTGCGACGAATTTTCAACTCAAAGCTAGACTTTAAACACATTTTGCCATGTTTTATCCTAATTGCTTACGGCTTTTTCTCTCTTCATTTTAAAGTTTTCCTTAAAAGCCACTTCTTCTCTTTTTTTTTTGCCTTTTCAATTATTGATGGTCACTCGAGACGACGGCGTCACTCTCCCGAAACACACAACTAATTGGTGATTCTCAGAGGGAGTCCCTTCAGAAAAAAAGGGCTGAAAAAACTAGTTCTTTCACTTGTTTTTCAATTGTTTATGGATTTATTAATACGAATTTGTAAGGATTTGGACAAGGAGATTCTGGTTTTGAAAGCTTTTGATGATTTTTTTTTAGCAAAAGCCAAGAACAGGGCTACTTAAACCAAGCCAATCAGGTAAAAGTCAGATGCAGGCCTTTCTTCTAACAGATCAGATCAGGCTTAAGTCCTGCTGAGAGCAGATCCACGCTTTGTCAAGTTCAGAGTTCAGGTCAAGTTCGGGTCAAGTTCGGGTCAAGCCTCAAGTCAAAGTTTTGCTTCTAGTTTTGCTTCTCTTTGCTTCTAGCAGCTCCAGAATCTTCTTGTAAGCCGGCTCGAACCAAAATTTGGCTACTTGGCCTTGGCCTTGTCCAAAAAACTTGCCTTGGAACAACGCTGGTCAACGCTGGACAACAACGTTTTTTAAAACAATACAATACTGATCTAAATTTTCTCTTAAATCTGGAATTTTTTTCATTTCTTGAATCATTTCATTCCATGAATACCATTGCTCCAACCTTGCTCAAACCCTGCTCAAACCCTGCTCAAACCCTGCTCAAACCTTGCTCAAACCTTGCTCAAACCAAAATAGCTCAAACCCACTCAAAGTTATTTGTTGATTTTTTGAGTCTAGTCATTTCATTAAATCGATTTCATCGATTTTCTAGTTTCAACATCTTTCTTTTCTTTTTCTTTTCTTTTTCTTTTCTTTTTCTTTTCGTTTTATTTTTACTGAAACTTCTTTGAGGATTATCCAAATTAAACCTTTTGTTCATTTCAGAAATGTCAGCGTTGACAAGATTTGTGACAAACACTTTCACCGATATTTCTCACAAGAGACAAAGCAAACGCTTAGTGCACGATGAAAGTGTTCACGTGAGTTTCAACAATTATAATTTTTCTACTTGCGAACTTTTTTTAATCACTGATCTCATGCCTGATCTGACATGCCTGATCTGACATGCCTGATCTGCCATGCCTGATCTGCCATGCCTGATCTACTAAATAGGGTGTCCGAAAAAAGTAGTCATCAGTTTGAGTCTGGAAGAATTTTCTTGTTGATTTTTCAAGGCTCTTCGTTATGTCAGAATTGGTTTTAAAAATAAACCTTAAAAATAAACAAAAAAACTAAAAAAACCTATCATTGATTAGATCTTTGATTCCTTTTAGAACGACTCAAATGGCAGCTCGTTGGATATGAATCCGAATTTCAACTTTTTCGATCCATCCGATCATTTGCGTGGCGAGGGATGGGAGGGTCCATCTGTGGCTGAACAACCAACGACACAAAGCACTCAAGCTCAACCCAAAGCTCAACCCACAGCTCAACCATCATCAAAAAATGAGACAAAGCAAACGAGTGCTAAAGATGTGAGTTGAAATGTTGTAAGCTTGTTTCTTGTAATCAATGAGTACTGAGTTTCTTGTAATCAATGAGTACTATAAAATTGTTAAGAAAAAGTATTTCTTTTATCGATGGTTCTCGGTTAAAACTCGTGTAGTATATAGTAAAAAGTGTGTAAAGACACTAGTTAGGATCCAGAAACAAAATCGATTTAGCTGGATGCGTAACGTGGAGTTTTAGATGGGTACAGTACAGTCACAGAAAGCTTTGAACTGTACATTAACGTAACCGTACATTCACAGCATCACATACAGTACTGGACAATGAAATATCTTATTTTTGAAAAAACGATCGTCACTTTCGCGCGTCTGTAACTCACTTGTCTTTGAGTTTAAACTATTAGTGTTATACATTTTCTGAAAGCTCTTTTCAAGGGCTACACAATGGTAATATTAATATTTAGAAATACGGTAAAGACAAGGGAGTTACAGACGCGCGAAAGTGACGATCTTTTTTCAAATATCATATTTCATTGTCCAGTAGTGTATGTAGTATTCGATCTCTTTTGATTCAACTTCTTATAGTCGTAGGATTGTCATTTTCTCCTTGTCTCCTTTTTTGCTTTCACAATAATCTATTTAGTAACAATAATTTGAGTGTATAATGACGAAGAAGAGGAAATTATTTGCTAAAGACCAAAATTCGTGCTAGTCGAGTTCTTTCAATTGGAAATTCTTCTCCAACTGTGGAAAATTGTAAGGATGCAAGGAGGCAAGAACACGGGGAAAGAGCAAACGATTACCTGGGCTCAACGTGGAAACGATGTTACAGTACAAACGCGATGTTCGTGCAACAATGATACTAGAACGTCTAGAACGATCCGTCTAGAAAGAGATGGTCTACCCATTCCTATATCCCAGGCACAAAGACGTTGGAAATATGGCCGTTGCAGCTGCCGCACAAGTTTCTCCAATCTCCTTTCCCGAGCTATCTTCGTTTTTCTTCGCTCTATAAATGTCTTTTTTCAAGAGAAGTCAATTCTGGCGACTTTCGAGACATGGCAACTTCGAGACATGGCAACTATGGCAACTTTCGAGACATTGATTGAGAACGAATGTGTGTTTAAGTAGCAGGAGCTTTTTGCTGAATTAAAATCTCTACTATATGCTAAATTATACGAGTTTCGACCGAGAACCGGCCATAAAACAAAACACGACCTTTAAGATGACAAAATTAACCTTTACTTTTAGGAAACGACAACGATGACCGAAGTCTCTTCAGGAAAACTTGTGATGCCACTGAAAAATGTGAGTTTTCCTCTAAAGGTACCACTTTTTCTCGCTTAAACTCTATTTAAAGGATTCGATTTTCGATTTTGATTGAATTTCTAGATGGTCCGAAAGTTGACTCCTTCATTCAACAATAACAGCAAAGAGATAAAGGACAAAAATGTGGATAATGAGGCGACGAAAACGGGAACCGATCGAACGGATGATGAGGCGAAGAAAAAAGAGAAGAAAGGAGTGTGGAACTTGAAGGAACAGGTTAGGAAACACGATAAGTTTTCAAGTTTATTATAATGAGAACCAGGAACGTTTTTTGTTGCTTTTCATTTGCATAAAAGTATGGTTGGAGTTCTTTGGAGTTTTTCTGGATCATAACTTTGGAGTTCACCCAGATTTTGAGTTGTTTTGTTGTTGTTTGAGTTGTTATTTCATAGTTTCGTAGTTGTTATTTTAATTGTTGTTGTTATTTTAATAGTTCACAACCAAGAAAGAAAGAAAACCAAGAAATGAACCAATGCTTTGATAGAGTTATGATTTGGTTATGCAAAACTTTTTATCCAAAACTCGACTAGGAAGAAATGAGAGACTTTGGGGCCTTCATTCATAATAATTCATAATAATGAATACCTTTGTATTATAGTTTAGAAGTTTGAATTCCTTTAGATTATAGTTCAGAAGTTGGAACACCTTTATATTACAGTTTAGAAGTTTGAATACATTTTTATGATAGTTTAAAAGTTTGAACACCTTTGTATTATAGTTTAGAAGTTTGAATACCTTTTTATAATAGTTTAGAAGTTTGAACACCTTTATATTATAGTTTAGAAGTTTGAATACCTTTTTATGATAGTTCAGAAGCTCAAAGATTTTACTACTTAAAAGTTCCAGTTCTTTGGCATTATGAAAAGTCATTAAGAGCCATTAAGAGCCAGTAAAAGAGCTGGAAAAGTAAAAGAGCTTCTTTTTGAAATCATAACCAACTTAACAGCTTTCATTTTCAGATCGAGAAACGAAAAGGCGGCGATCGGCAGATGTTGATCGATTTGGATGGGGATAGCTTTTGAAAATTGTTTGAAATTTTCAATTTCACTCATCTTTGCGAAAATTTCCATTAAAAAATACGTGGTGCTCTTTTAAATGAAAAGAAATAAATTTGTTTTTCTCCTTTTTTTTCTTTTTCTCTACCTTTTCTCTTCTTTACGGGCTAGTGTTTTGAGAATTTCTTTTTCCGATTCAATTTCCTTTCTTTCTTTCCTCTCTTTCCTTTCTTTCCTTTCTTTCCTTTCTTTCCTTTCTTTCCTTTCTTTCCTTTCTTTCCTTTTTCTTTTTTCTTTTTTTCCTATTTTCATTCATTTCCCTAGTCAATCATTTTCAAAGAAAAATGTTTATGTAAATAAATTTCAGAATTGAAAATAGGAAGAAAAATGACAGAATTTGGCCAAAGGAAAAGATAAAACCCGTAAAAGAAAAAGATTTTCAGATCATAACAGAAGAAAAAGTTCACAAAATGGAATAGAACAAGTCAGGGAATAGAACATGGAATAGAACATGGAATAGAACAAGTCATTGAATAGAACATGGAATAGAACAAGTCACAAATATTGGTCAGTGTCACAAAACAGTGTCACATCACAGTGTCACAGTGTTTTAGTGTAAGCTTGCCATCAGCCAGCAGCAGCTAGTGTCAAATAGAAATCACAGACAATGAATATATCGTATTAAAGCTATTTTGCACATTCTCTATCGTAATCATTTTCTTTTCTGAACCAATTTTGCTCGATAGTCAATTAACTATTATTTAGAAGAAAAAAGAACTCGAGATTTAGTAAACTAGCGTAATTGGGACGCAATAAAACCTTGATAAACCTGAATAATTCGAAATCACACTATTTTGCTAGATTTCATCTGAAAGAATTACGTATTTCGTTTTTTTGGGTAAAAATTTCAGTAATTTCAGTGTAATTTCAGTAAATCCATAAACCCAAGTTTCAGGTAAACCCAATTTTGACCCAAGAATCAAGTTTTTTAATCCCCACAAAATGCAAAACCACTTTGGTACTCGATAAAATTGGAATATGACCGATTACCGTATTCTCTCTAATAGTAGTGCATCTAAATTGCTCGAAATCTCGAGAACCGCTTATCAGAACCTATCGATGTGGGCTCGGAAATCAGCTGAAATCAGCTGACGATGAGATCTTGTGGGGGATTAGAGTGTTGAGCTTCTGCAAAGCTTGAAAACCGTAAAATAGTCATCAACTCGGCTCGCCGGGGTGCAGTACTATTAGAGAAAATACGGTAAATACTATTGATGTTTCATTGTTCAGCTCTAAAGACTTTGAAAAAGATCAACTGAATGCCAAAGTACAGGCATCAACTACAAGTACAAGTACCGGGGTGCAGTACTATTAGAGAAAATACGGTAGTTTCCGTTTTTCTCAAGCTTCTTGTTGTCCCTTAACAGTTAACTCAACAATTTCACAAAAGCCAGCTGTCCTTATGGGTGGGCCAAAGAAATCGACTCCGGCTGACACAAGGATATGGGTATTTGTCGGCCTGTTATGATAGTGACCGTGATTGTATTTGTTGCCCAGCTCAGTCAACGGCCAGAAGAAGATGAACTGCCCGTTGTGGGTGTGACCTGAAATGGATACTGTTCTTGATAGAGAATTTGAATGAAGGATCGAAAGGGTTGGGTGCGGCTAATCCAGCTCTAGAAAAGGACTTTTCTCAAAAACCAAAAGAGTTGACGGTTTTTTTGTTTAGATATTTCAAATCTACGCACATTTTTCACTAGATTCACGGGTTTTCGTAAAAAAAAAACTATAAGTCTTGCCTATGTAATTTGTATCAAAATCTCACTATCGGGATAGCCACAGTAAACAGAATGTTCAATATTTATGGGGACTTTTGAGAAGCTCGTAGGACGTTCAAGAAGCTCGTAGGTCGTTCAAGAAGCTTGTAGGTCGTTCAAGAAGCTTGTAGGTCGTTCAAGAAGCTTGTAGGTCGTTCAAGAAGCTTGTAGGTCGTTCAAGAAGCTTGTAGGTCGTTCAAGAAGCTCGTAGGTCGATCAAGAAGCTCGTAGGTCGATCAAGAAGCTCGTAGGTCGTTCAAGAAGCTCGTAGGTCGTTCAAGAAGCTTGTAGGTCGTTCAAGAAGCTCGTAGGTCGTTCAAGAAGCTTGTAGGTCGTTCAAGACCTCTCAAAATTGGTTTATGAAGAAAGCAAGAAAGAAAGCAAGAAAGGCAGCAAGAATGCAGTGCTTTCTTTCTCAAGAAAGCACTGCATAGAAGTTGGAAAAAAGCTTGACTTTCTAGATTATTTTTACAGTTTATTAAGTTTGATATTTCAAAAATCGATTTGTCTCGATAACCAAAGGATCACCCGATGAAAAAGAGTGTTCTTTGGTGAGTAACGATGAAAAACTCTTCACAATTTAAAAGTTTTCGAATCAACGGGACATTAGAAGTGTTAGAAACACCTTCCACTTTTGGTTCTTCCAAGAAAGCTTAACGAGAATTTGTCACGAACTCAATTCCTCAGACTTTCCACAGGCTTTTCCAGACAAGCAACAGCGCAAAAGGCATTAATTTTGAAAAAAAGTAACTTAAAGCTGTTAAAGTTAGGCGCTTTGATAAGTGCTTTCATTTTTTTCAGTCTTAAACTTGTACAAAATGAGCTCAAAACCTAGTAATCTACTGGTTCCCCATAAATATTGAACACTCTGTAGATCAACGAACTCAACTCCTTCGTCATAAACATCTATTGGGTTGTCCAGTTATGAATGCGCGTTTTTACTATTTTGTAAATTTCTCAAGATATTGAACAGATGTATATGAGTGTTATATATCATTCGAAAGCTGAAGATCTCCTCTACATTTTGGAATAAAAAAGTTTTTGAATTCATTCAACTTTTTGGGAAATTGACTGCACAAAGGGAGAGGTCGTTTTCGAAAAAAATCCATTTCAGCTTAGCTACTCCTCAAGTTTTATGGTGTAAAATAACCGCCCAGAAAAGAAAAGAAAAGTAAAGATGCTCTGAAATTGTTATATTTTAAAAAAAGTTGTATTGATATATCTATTGGCCAAACATCAAACGGTTAACTCAATTTGAGCGGAGCCAAAACTTGATCCAAAGGCACCCTTTCATTTTTTAGTCACCTCCTCTTCTGTGCAGTCAATTTGCCCAAAAGCTGGACAAATTCAAAAAGTTTTTATATCAAAATGTAGAGGAGATCTTCAGCTTTCGAATAATACTCATATATATCTTTTTCTTGATTTCGATACCTTGAGAAATTTACAAAATAGTAAAAAACGCGCATTCATAACTGGACAACCCAATATAATAGAAGTACGATATAATTAACGATATAATCGTTAGAAAACGAATTCAACTACCTGAAAGAATCACATCCAAATTCCCATTAATCTGATCATCGGTCAAAATCATATCATCGGCATTTGGTTGATGAGCCAAGAGAACGACGAGATCCTCCTTTTTGCAGCCACTCAATGCTTGCTTTGGATTCATTTTGTGGCCAGGATGACTGAATTTTTTTGTTTCTTTTTTCGATTTCACTGTCTTTACTGGATTTTCAAAGTGATATAGTCGTCGACTCCGGCAATGCAAATCGAGTTCCCGTTTCCTGTATCAAGGCGTCGATTCTCGTTGTGGAGAACGGTGATATTGCACGCTTTCAACCAAACAAACCACTCATCGACTTCGCCATGAAAGTATTCATGGTTTCCTAGAATATTTCAGATTTTAGTTGGATAGAAAATTTACCTGTTGCAAAATAGACTCCAAGTTTTGGTGTCAGAGAGCAGAAAGGACTTGCCGCTTCACCCAAGTCTTTCACATAACCGTCAGCCAGATCACCAGCAATGGCAACAATGTCTAGGTAGATTTATTTTGGCTTTAGAATTTAGGCTACATTTGGATTTTCTTGAAAAAAGGAAAAACTTATTGAAGATGTAGTTCTGAGCTGATTTCTTAATATAATTATAACACAGTCTAACGCTTCTATACCGTATTTTCTCTAATAGTAGTGCAGCCTGAGCGTTCCCTCAATTCCTCGAAATCTCGAAAACCGCTTATCAGAACCTATCGATGTGGGGTCGGAAAATGTAGCTGATGATGAGATCTAGTGGGGGATTTGAGTGTTGAGCTTCTGGGAAAGCTTGGAAACCGTAAAATAGTCACCAACTCGGCTCGCCGCGGCGCAGTACTATTAGAGAAAATACGGTAATTTGTCTTTGTAGTTTGTTTTGGCATAAATTTATCTCAGTCTAGAATCTCAACAAAAGCGATTTGGATAAGACTACGGTAGCTTTCGAAGTTGGCAAGTTTTAGCCAACTACTACTTGAATCTAGGCTAAAGTTAATCATCATAGCTATTACCTGGTTCTAATTGATTCACATCGTTCACAATTTGCTCCACCCGACTCTTCCCGACACTCGGTCCAATGTGAATATCGGTTAGCAAGACGATTTTCAACTCTGATCCAGGTTTCATTTTCTAAGCCATAGCTTAGTTGATGTTAACCATTTTCCATACCTCAGTAACAACTGTTTCTCTCACAACTTTCGGAGGAGTTAGCGTTCTATAGAGTCCGAATGCCAAGAAAGCGATCGTCAATGCAAGCACAATGAACACTTGTTTTAATCGATGATTCATGAAGAAACTAAAGATTGAAAAGTTTGGCAATACTGTTAGATTCAGTGTCTCACTACAGTATTTTGTAAAAAAAGTGTTCAAGAAGTTAGATCTTGTTGACCTCGCTACCTTAATCTACGGTGGCCCATAGCGCCTTCAGAGGGCCTAGATTGGCCAAAATCGGGCCAATTTCCCTGATTTTTCTGGAGATAAATCTTAAGTATGTCTCCTTGAGCGGTGCCCATTATCTAATCGATTCAAGCTTTCAACTTTTTCATATAACCTCCCAAAGTTGAGAGTCGAGTGTCACTCGGCACGCTACTCATTTTTGGGATTTTTGAGAGCGATCTTGTCAAAATCTCGTTGAGATTCGATTACTTATGTTAATGAACAAAATTTTACATGCTCTAAGCAGTTTAAATGCAAAAATTCTTGAGAAATGTCACCAAAAGTCATTTAATATAATCTGTTTTCACTTGAACAATTTATGGGGGATTCAGAGAAGCCACTAAAGAACGAGAAAATCTTATTTTTCAAAGTCTATCGCTTTTAAATTTTAGAAGTAAATATGATTCATTGAAAAAAACATTAAAATCTTAAAGACTTTTTAAATGAAAACTTCAAAATCCCAAAAATGAGTAGCGTGCCGAGCGAAACTCGGCTCCCAACTTTGGAAGGTTATATAAAAAAGTTGAAAGGTTGAATCGATTAGATAATGGGCACCGTTCGATATACTTAAGATTTAACTCCAGAAAAATCAGAACGCTTGACCGAATTTTGGCCAAAATAGACCCTCTGAAGTGCGGCGCTATAATCGTGAGTGACCCTATAGGCCATTCTTTATCTGTTAACAGTAAGGATTTAAGAATATGTATTAGAGCGCTCCATCTTATAAGCAACCCATTTCTCTGACTCATCCATTTTTCATTTTTCAACAGCAATCAATTGAATATCAACCCTGTACTACGGGAATTGTAGCAGGTCCAATTGACAAATGCCAATTTCAACTCCAAAGCCGGATTATCATGGGCACAAAGTGATGTTGTCTGGTGGAACATCAACGGGCTTGTTTATTTCGGATTATTAGAGCCCGGAAAAACAGCTGATTCAAACAGCTGATTCACCTTATTTTATTCAACAGCTCAAGATGGTTGACTAAATTTTGCGTCAAAAGGTTTTAATTCCCTCGACTCTCAATTTTCCCCGACTCTGGCAACGTGCCAGCTAACAAAGCGAAAGCTTATATGAATTTAGAGGAATTAGGATGGAAGGTCTAACCACATGCGTCATATAGTCCAGACTTATTATCATTTGATTTTCACCTCTTCAGATCAATGCAACATTCCCTTGCGAATATCAACGGGCTTGTTTATTTCGGATTATTAGAGCCCGGAAAAACAGAATGACTGGTCGAATTCTGTTTTAGATTTCATCTTTTCACTTACCCATTTACTCCGAAGATCGTAACTTTCCCTCGGATTTTCAGAATTAGATAGATCACAAGCAAGATGAGATCAGTAAAAATGAAGAAGAGAATGAGATGAATCCATGCAGCGAGAGCTGTCATCGAGATATACGCCCAAGGAGAGACTTCGGACGGGAGAGGACTCTAGAATTTAGTTCAATAGAAAAAACATTAAATATTGAATGAATTTGCTGTATTGTAAGACATTGTAGCCATTAATAATCCAAGACTTTTCAAGTAATTGAGCCAAAACTTGCTTAGACTCATCTTGAACTTGCTTAGACTCATCTCTGGATTTACGACATCTTGATCTCTGGATCTTTTAGAGTTTAGACTAAATTTTAGTTTAGAATTTTAGTTTACGGGATAGAAGAATCTTTAAATATTGAAAGAACTCGTTATAAGATTTAAAATTGTTAGATATTGCCGCCATTCATAATCCAAGACTTTACAAGTAGTTGAAACAAAATTGGTTTGCGATTAGACTCAATCTTGTCTCAAAAATCGAAATCAAATCACTATATAGAAGTCGCTCACTAAATAGAAATCTCAATTAGTTCGATAAACGAATTGCGATGCGTAGGACAAAATTCATAGGACAAGACAAATGCATAGGAAAATGCGTAGGACAAGCCTTGAATCCAACTTTGATCTTAAAATCTCATAGCCTCAATCTCAAAAAATCTCAATCTCAAGCCAAAATCAAAACTCAAAGTTATTCACCATATAGAAAATCGAAGAAGCGTGCGCAAAGAGCAATAACGATACCAAAAATATCCTAAAGTTTGACAAATCTTCGATTTCATTGTTATTTTACCTGACAAACACTCCCAAAGCAATCCACAAAGTATCCCGTTTCTTGACACTGAAACATAAATGTTATTTTCATATTCAATTATATGAAATTGTTGAAATTGTTGAAATTGCTGAAATTGTTTTATTTTCTTGAATGAACCTGTGTGTTTGTTTTATCGCATTTCTTTCTTCTTCCATTATATAGTAGCGATGGAGAAGGATTTGAGGCTTTTTCAGAGATCTAGCAAGAATTTTCTACAGGGTGCGGCATAAGTATAGTTACAAGATTGTAACATTGATTTAAGAAACTGATTCAAAGTCTGAAAAAGGTACTGAAGAAAGACTGGGCGGAAATTCCACAAAGTACCCTGCGGGCCGCCGTGGAAAGTTATCCAAAGCGTCTTAAAGCCGTTATCAAGAATAAAGGTGCCCATATTGAATAATTTGTTATTTTTTAAATGAATATGATTACTGTTGTTAATTTTAAATAAAGTTTACATGAATCCGTTCATATTTCATTACGATACACGATTCTGAGTCTGTAACTATACTTATGCCGCACCCTGTATGTTTTTCTAACTTTATCTATGTTAGTTTTTTAGCTTTCTATTCTAGTTTTTCTTTTTTTCGACGTTTAAGTGCTCAGTTCAGTATGAGATTGAAAGCTCAATTCCGAAAAACTCACGGAAAAGCGGCCGCAAATCGATAGTAGATGTAAATCGTCCCAAGGAACATTAGCAACTGCATGTTCACCACGGCGAACGAGTGAAACAAGAATTTCCCATCATTGTAGGAAAGGGCTTTTCCAAGCTGAAATATTCGATTGATCTTTCGACATCTTAGTCTTTATATACTTCATTTAAAATGTTATTTAGAAAGAACGAATTTGCTTTGCTTTGCTTCAAGTCCAATGATTTGCTTCAAGTCCAATGAATACCAAATTAAGAATCTATGCCATTGAAAACTCTAGAAGCGAAAATTAGTGCGCTCTGGCTTAATGGAGATGAATGTAGACTGTCCCACAACGAGTACGTAGTTTAAAAAAAAAACCATTTGTCTTCAAATCAAAAATCTAAGCACTAATCAATTCTGCTAAGATATCCCAGTTGCAATTATTCAAATTCCCCTTTCCTGGGCCAATTTTTTTGCGTAGATTCCAAAAAACACACTTTCACCACGATTTGACGACGGTATCGCGATGAAAAATGACTTTGAAAATTTCTAGGTTTCAACTTTGGTGTTCAGAAGGGGAAAAACCTGGATAAAATAGAAAACATATAGAAAAACTACTACCATCGTGTAGAGCTCAACCTGAGCTTTCAGAATACATAACACTTGATGTCTGTCTGTATGGGTTCTGTCGAGTACTTCTGTAGATATGGCGTATCAAAGTTGGTGAACTCCATGGCCAGCCGTTGATGTTTTGATTAGGTCAAAAGACAAAATTTCTCGACTTATCAACAAAAAATTGACAAGTCGAAATCGATTGAGTGGACTGTTTTTGTGTTTTCTTTTAAACACGAAGTACACAAGTGGACGAGTCTAATTCTTTCTAGCCAAGGATTCTTCCTATTAATCTAATTCTTCCAACCCGACGTTCCAATCCTAAGCCTGTAAGCCAGGTGAAGCAAGCAAAGCAGGGCCAGGTCTAACTATTAGGTTAGCCGATAAGTCTTTGGACACTTCATTTAAAAAGCTTTTTGGGAAGAATCAATTCACCGATTGGCCTACGGTTTGCTTCATTAGAAAGGCCTACTATTTGTCTACAAAATAACGTGCAAATCTTTTGCAAATGTTTTGTCTCTGGATTTTTATGAGAGCTCAAAGTTGGGTAGTGAAAAAAGGCGACAATCCGAAGACGCGATTCATCAATTGACCAATGGCTTTAAATAGAAGATGTTTAGCAATCGATTTTCTATAATTTCAAGCCGATTTGGCCGATTTTCAGTTTATTCCAAATAAATTCGAGTGCAAAAACTTGTTTTTTTGTAAAATTTGATGAAAAGCTCTATAAAGACATCGATTCTGAACAGATTATTCTGGATTCTGAACAGATTATTCAGAACTTGCCTATACGCCTAACTTTTGCGCTCTATCTTTCATCTTTTGACAGCAACTGATAGTTTTCTGTGGATCAAAGTGGCAAATTTTCAGAATAATCTATTCACAATCGATTTCTTTGTAGACCTTTTTGATCGACTTTTACGTAAAACAAATTTTTGCACTTGAATTTACTTCGGAATGAACTCAAATTGGCTTAAAAAGATAGAAAAGTGAATGCTAAAGTTCTTCTATTTAGAGCCAATTGTAGGTAAATAGGTGAATTTTTCATTTATAAACGTTAGTAGTCGAAAGATTTGACGGCCAACCAAATAGAATGGTTTAAGAATCTTTAATCGTTTGCTAATTCTCCAATCAGTACTGCTAGAATCTGTAAGCGAAGCCAAGCTAGGTAGTCAAGCCAAGCTAGGTAGCCAAGCCAAGCTAGGTAGCCAAGCCAAGCTAGGTAGCCAAGCCAAGCTAGGTAGCCAAGCCAAGCTAGGTAGCCAAGCCAAGCTAGGTAGCCAAGCCAAGCTAGGTAGCCAAGCAAGCTAGGTAGCCAAGCAAGCTAGGTAGCCAAGCCAAGCCAAGCTAGGTAGCCAAGCAAGCTAGGTAGCCAAGCCAAGCTAGGTAGCCAAGCCAAGCTAGGTAGCCAAGCAAGCTAGGTAGCCAAGCCAAGCTAGGTAGCCAAGCCAAGCTAGGTAGCCAAGCCAAGCTAGGTAGCCAAGCCAAGCCAAGCCAAGCTAGGTAGCCAAACAAAGCTAGGTAGCCAAACAAAGCTAGGTAGCCAAACAAAGCTAGGTAGCCAAACAAAGCTAGGTAGCCAAACAAAGCTAGGCCAGAGCCAGATCCAGAAATCAGGTCCAGGCTTGAAACGAGCTCTGTCTTTGCCTGGTCTGAAACGAAAAAAGACATGATTTTAGAAAACAACTCCTGATTACTTCTTGAGCTTTTTGTTGGATTGAGTCGGTGAACTTTATCAAATTTCGATCAGTATTCATTTGAAACAATTCTGCTTTGAGAAAATCAATCAAATTGTATGAATTTTTTCAAAAATTTGTTTTATAAAGCGTCAAAAACCGTCAAAAAGGGCACAAAGGCGTCAAAAATCATCAACTTATCAACTATTTGTAAGTGAAAAACTGATTGTAAGCACTCTATTGATAAATCGAACTTGTGGATCTGGAGATTCGGGATGTATATCGCGTTCATTTAAGTTTCAACACAATGAACGCGAGATATTCGACTTTAAAGTTTTAGGGCTCCTTTTTGAAGCCTGTTTACGAAGCTGTAAGAAGGGGATGTAGTTAAAACAACACCGTAATAAAAAAACGTTCAACACAGCGCCACCGTCAAATTTCTCACAATCCAAAAAAACCTAGTCGATTCAAGTTTTATACCAAAATATTCGTTGCGTTCTTGGCTACATGATGGATAGAATAGTTTTTAAAAAAGTCAAATTTCATAGATGAAATTAGCGTTCAAAATGTGTGTCGAGTGGTGCGCAGTTGGTTAACTGAAGATCTTTAGAGACAGAGCTGTTTTGAACGTTTTCTATTACGGAAGTGCTGTTCTAACTACATCCCGGAGATTCTTTGGAGCTTTTCTCTATTATTCTGATAAAGCTTTTCTCTATTATTCTTCAGCTGCTTCAGCTGCTTTCACACATGCTTTCAAACTTACTTTTAAAATTGCTATCGTGTAGACCAACTCGAGCACGATTGCAAGCACGAGAAACACGTAAATCCATATTGGGATCTTTTTCAAGAGACTGAACAAATCTTTGATAAGCTTTGAAATCAAGAACTTACTTGAGTAACCTCGCGAGAAAGTTCATCGTTGTGATTTAGCTATTTGGTTGAACAGTTTTAAATAGGTGTGTTTGAATGAAATCAATGCAAAGCCTCGATTTGATGGTTGACAATTTTTTGGGAGACTTTTTTTGGGGAATCGAGCAAATTGTAAAAGAGAGAGAGGAAAGTTCCGAGAATAAACCGAGCACCTAAAAGGATGATTCATCGATAAAAGAGATCATGATTTTGAAGTTTTAAAAAAAGAAAAGAAAGAAGTAATCTATACAATAAGCTTTATAATAAGCTTTATAATAAGCTTTACAATAAGCTTTACAATAATCTTTACAATAAGCTTTGCAATAAGCTTTACAATAAGCTTTACAATAAGCTTTGCAACAAGCTTTGCAATAAGCTTTACAATAAGCTTTGCAATAAGCTTTGCAATAATCTTTGCAATAAGCTTTATAATAAGCTTTATAATAAGCTTTACAATAAGCTTTACAATAAGCTTTACAATAAGCTTTGCAATAATCTCTACAATAAGCTTTACAATAATCTTTACAATAAGCTTTATAATAAGCTTTATTTACAATCAGCTTTACAATAAGCTTTACAATAATCTTTACAATAAGCTTTGCAATAAGCTTTGCAATAATCTTTGCAATAAGCTTTATAATAAGCTTTATAATAAGCTTTATTTACAATCAGCTTTACAATAAAGCTACATTTCTATATAAAGATGAGAAAAGAGAACTTTCAAATTGAATAGCAAAGCATCGATACAATGCAATTCTGGACATTGCTCATCATAAAATCAAATCAAATAGCTAAAGTGTATAAATCAAAGTTTTAACAGAGAAATTGTTGTTAAATAATCTTTGAATACGATCGAAATTGCTTCAAAATCTCTTCAAAGATTCTGAAAAACTTTCTGAGATTCGAAGATTCTAAAAAGCAATTTCGTCAGGTAAATCCCAATGAAGTAAACAAAATGCAGTCTGTCGTTAGCCGGTAGTCATGGTGAAAAGAGAATAAAATAAAAAGAAAGCATTAAAGAGTCCCCTGAAGACTTAGATAACAAATGCTAGTTTGAGTCGAGATTTAAATTCGAATTCGAT